TCTTGATCTGATGGGTCATGAGATGGAGGCTGCCTGCTGGCAGGCTTGGCACTCAGCAGGGAGTCTGATTGAGATTCTCTCTCCCTCCCTCTGTTGCTCCTCCAAGCGCGCGTGAGCATGCGCACTCTCTCAAATAAATAAATAAATCTTTAAAAAAAAAAACCCTGGGTAATGAAAAACTAAAACAACATATATTTAGTTTTGAGATTATTAGCAGCAGAGGCAAAGAAGAACATATAATGGGGTTAAGTAGCTCTTGATGTGGAGAACAAAGGCAAAAGGAATTTGGGTAAAATTAAATTTCTTTCTAAACTGCATCCCACTGACAAATCCTTGAGACAGGCAGAATAATACATTCCTCCAGGAACTCCCAATTTACCTGTTAAAGCCTTGATAGAGGAAAAAAACCACCTTAGCTTGACAATAGCTAGGCTTTCAGGATCCTGTAAGTCTTCTTTAACATATGAAAATCCTTTTGGGGACTTCCTTGGTCTCTACCCACCCGCCCCTCAATTTAGAAGTATCAAATCCATTGCTCTTCACAATCCCAGTGCAGGTCTTTCTGCCCAGAGGTCCCGACCCCATACTTAAATAAAACCACCTTTTTTTGCACCGAAAACGTCTCAAGAGTTCTTTCATGACCGTTTGCTCCTGGACCCTGACATCAAATCGCATTAGCTCTCACTGTTGAGTTATAGAAAGCGCATTTGTACATGACCAGAAAGTTTTTTCTCCCTGGCCTTGAGCTTTATGAGGAATTTGTTAAGAAGGTCTTTTTGGTTAATTCAATGAATGGCATAGCCTGAGTCTCTTTAATAAGACTTGCAGGGGTGGTCCACACATGCCTAACAGTCCTGATTTTATCCTTGGGACAAAGCCCAGGGTCTACTATTAGGAGTGTCAATCTTACATAAGATCCATTGCGGGGGAGGGGATAGATAGAGGGTCACCTGCCGGTTTATAGCCTAGTAGTAACTGTTTCGTCCTCTCCAATTCCTATTGCTGCCACTCTTGAAGTCCACATACCTAGGGCATGGTCAGGTTGATTGCATAACCTGGCTTGTTTGCTTGCTTCTGGTCTCTCTTCTCTATTTTTAAGGATTTTTTTAAAATTTATTCATAGAGATAAAGAGAGACAGAGACACAGACACAGACAGAGGGAGAAGCAGGCTGCATGCAGGGAGCCTGATGTGGGACTGGATCCCAGGTCTCCAGGGTCATACCCCAGGCTGCAGGCGGCGCCAAACCGCTGCACCATCGGGGCTGCCCCTGGTCTCTCTTCTCTAAAACACTCTTTGAGAAAGAGAAACTGAAGGACTTCATCATAAAAATCTGCTTTTTTGCTGCTTCTGCTTCTATCCTTGCTAGGACCTGCACCCCCACTTTATACATGCCTCCTAGTGCAAATAATGTAGAGCTTCCTTTTGTAAGGGACAAGGAATTAATGATTTCTTTTTTTTTTTTTAAAGATTTATTTATTCAGAGAGAGAGACAGAGAGGCAGAGAGAGACACAGGCAGAGGGAGAAGCAGGCTCCATGCAGGGAGCCTGACGTGGGACTCGATCATGGGTCTCCAGGATCACACCCTGGGCTGCAGGCGGCACTAAACCGCTGCGCCACCGGGGCTGCCCGAGTTAATGATTTCTTTAGAATAATTAACAATTAAGGAAGGACCAGGTGTGCATGACTGGAAGAAGCCATCCTATGTGTGTTCCAGACCTTAGAGGCTAGATGTCTTGACACCAAGACCCCCTGGCTCCACCTAGTAACACCTGGGCCCTCATCTTTGTTCTGACTGGTTCCTGGACGCCTGAGAGGACACGTATCCTAAACCACCCTCCTCAATAAAAACCCAAGACCCCAAACATAGACAAGACTTTCTCCTTTACTTTCTGAGTCTCCCAGACACTCTGTACCTGTACTCTTTCAATGCCTCCAAGAAACTCTGCTTTCACCTCCTGCTTGGTTCACATTTGATTTCCAGCCTTCGCACAGCCAGGGGCCTGCTTGGCTGGTCCAGCAAGACACCCCCACCCCCACCCCGCCCCCCCTGAGTCCTGGGACCTGGCCTTCTGGCATCACTATTACATTGCATTGCTTTCAGCTGAATATTTCCAAGACATTGCTTTTTCAATTTCACCCCTCCGGTCAAAAACATTTCAGTGACTTGCAAATTGCTTACAGTATGTTAAAAGGAAACCACAAGACCGAAGTGCTGTCACTTAAGGCCAAATCTGTAAACCAATAATCAATACCTAACCTAACTGCAGTTTGAATGTCTAGGAATTTAACCTTTAATCAGTCAACAGGGAATTTGCAAATCAATAACTAGGAAATTTACTGATAGACCTCTTCTGATCCCTTTGGGGGAGAGGGCAACCTTGCCTAAACAATTAATTCCTTTTCTTCTTTTTTTTTTTAATTTTTATTTTATTTTCTTTTCTTCCTTTTCTTCTTTTTTTTAAGGCCTTCTTTGTTTTTAAAAAAAACCTTTCTTTTGTTTAACTCAGTGGAGCTCCTCTCTGCTTCCTAGATGGGATGCTGCGGGATTCAGGAATTGTTTAAAAAAGCCAATTAGATCCTCAAATTTACTAGGTAGAACTTTATTTTTGTTTTGTTTTTAACAAGTGTAACATCTAAATGTATTATCTTGCTGTTTAAAGTCTTCTACAACCAGACCCTGACTTACCTTCATGTCTTATCCTCTCCTATTCCTTCAATGGTGCTTCTTAGAGGTTTCATACCTTAGGAGTGTTTGTGTGGAGGAGGAAGGAGACCTTTGAAACAGTAGGGCCAAAACCTAGTGAACATTATCACTAAATGTCAAGTTTACCAGATGACAGTTACTCTAAAATTTCCCCCCCCCCAAAACGTGCTGTAGAGTAGAATGCAACATTTACATCAACTTTAAAGTTAAAACCAAGGCATCAGAGACCTTTTTGGGATTTTGGTGGGCCACATTACAAGGCCGTGGTTTGTAGTTACTTTCTTACCATCTCCAAGCAGTACACACAAAAAACTGACCCTGGAATCACCTTTTATAAACTCCTACCCCCAAGTTTTTATGCAATTTTTAACACTGGCTTCCTCTCCCTGAAAGCCTTTCCTTCAAATTCCAGCAAACTATCCCTCACATCCTTTGACCTGCCGGGAAATCACACCAATTACCTATGTCATTCCAGGGGGAGCACTTAGTATAAAATGCCTTCTTTCTCATTTCTTAGAATCATTCTGTGATATTGTGGCAATAAATATATATTTGATAACTGTCCTCATTCCTAGCACAGAACCCTAAAATCCATGGAATTTCCCCGAGAAGACCCGTGAAGGTGTTTATGTTAATGTAGTGATTTTGAAAGGCCCCTAGGTAACAGAGGGATGGGAATACGGAATCAAAGTGGGTTGGTTGCCAGGGTAACCAACCAGAAGATTAGAAGGTTGTAACTTTGGTCCTGAGGGCCTGGAAATGGAGCTAATGACAACCCCAAAAGCAGTGGGTTCAGAGATCTTCTAAGTTGGTGAATGCATGTAGGTCCTGGGACAGTGGCACAGCTAGAGAAGGTATGGAAGCTTTCCACATACCTTGCCCTATGCATCTTTCTCATCTGTCCCTGAGTTTTAGCTTTTTATAATAAACCAGCGATCTAGTAAGCAAAAAGTTTCCCCGAGTTCTGTGAGCCTCCGCCGCAAATTAGTCCTACAGCAGGTGGGGGGCAGGTCATGGGACCGCCCCATCATCTATTGCCTGGTGGGTCAGAAGCACAGGTAACAACCTACGCCTGCAATCAGTGTCTGAAGTGGGGGCAAGAGCAGTGTTGTAGGACTGAGCCCTTGACCTGTAGGATCTAATGCTATCTCCGCATAGTGTCAGGAGTGAGTTCAGTTTGGTTGGAAAAACATGCACCGGACATACTTTCAGAAAATTGGTAGGGATCATATAGAGTCTTATTCCCCACACTTCATGAAGGAGAACCCAAGTCCAGAGAGGTGAAGGTGACATGTTTGTTCTACCAACTAGGTGTTCTCCCTGCTGTCAGGGCTGGTGCTGTATCTTCCTTAATCCCCTCAGGGTAGTACCTGGCACTCAGTAGGAACAGCAATCTAAACTCCTCTTCTAGAGTGCTTTAATTTACCCGATTTCACGATATCCAAGACCCTGTACAAACCTGTCGAGGTGAGCAGGGCACATGCCATCCATTTAGAGGTGAAGTAAAATAACTGAGGTTCACTCAGAAGGCCTGACTGTGGAGGCCGAGAAAAATCAAGGCCATTCCACCTCAAGTTTAGCATTAGCACAAGTACAGCCATTTCATTTTAGGTCCCTGGGAATAAGAGCTGAACTTCACAAGGAAAAACTGCAGAATGCCCTCGGCAGAGAATCCCATATCGGATCTTAAGAACCCCCTCCTTTCCCCCATATTGAAATGGAAAAAATTCCTCCACCCCTTCAGAAGATCTCCTAGACCAGCCCATAAAAAACCCAGCTGTAACCCACCTCCGGGTCCAAGTCCCTGCTCCGCGGTGTCGCGTACACTTGGACCCAAGCCCGAGCTTGTAAATAAACCCTCGTGTGTTTGCATCGGTGTCGGCTCCTTGGTGGTTTCTCGGATTCGCAATCTTGGGCACAACACTGACAAGAGCCAGGACCAGAATCCGGACTTCCTGGTTCTTGGCTGTAGCATCTCGTCCTTTGGGTGCTTGGTCAATATTGGCCAACTTGATCAAGTCGAGCAACGGTTGCGCTCAGCACATGTGGCGCCAATCGGAGGAGGATCACTGAAACAGCGGGCACCCGGCAGGAGGGCAGACGGAGAAAGCCCAGAATCCTGACCCCAGCTTTCAGGGTCTGTCAACTACCAGGGTTTCCGACGCCAGGGAAGCAATGCCCAGCCCCGACCCCGCGGCGGGAGGTCAGGCGCGCAGGGGGCGGACCCTCCGCGCTCCGGAGTGCGCAGGCGCGGGGGGCGCGGGGGGCGCGGGGGCGTGGCGACGCAGCACGCTCCTCCCGGGGCCGACGTCTACGGAGGCGCGCCCGGATTTCAAACTCGGCGACCCGTCCTCCCCGGACGCCTCGTCCGCCTGGCCTGGGCACAGCAGTCCCGGCGGCGAAGAGGGTGAGCGCGGTGCCGCGTGAGGGCGAGGCGAAGCGAGAGGAGCGGGCGCACGCCGGCGGGAGCGCGCGCGGCGGGCTGTTGTGCGGGGGGCAGGGCGAGTGGGGAGCGGGAAAGCGCCCTGGCGCCGGGGCGGGGGGGGCGGGGCCCGTGTGTTCCCGACGCGCTGGGAACCTGTGGGGGGAAGGGCAGGCCCTGCGGTGGGACCTGCCGCGCCCCGGAGCTGCGCTGGGGCGGGACCGCCTGTGCTAAGCGCGCTTCATACATCACTTTAGGTAGTGGTCTCTGCGCCGCTGTGGTGCTGGTATCTGTTTCTTCTTTACAGTTGCGGAGGCTGAGGCTTAGGGCTGTTAACATAAGCTGGGATTCCAGAGTTGGGCCCCCGAGTCCAGTTCCCATACTGTTAATGACTCTGCTCTGCTGTCCATTAGGGAATCAAGGTAGAGTAGGGTTCAGCCTAGAGGACTGGGTTGAATAGAATTGACTAGGTTGGTGGAGGAGGTGTCCTAAAAGTGGGAATAAATCCTAATGGCAGGTTCTTACGTAGCGTGAGAGCTCCGAGGGTGGAGCTGGTGGGGAGACCGAGGCCCCAGGAAGGTGAGAATGGGGCCAGGCTCCCTCCGGGTTTTGGAGCATTGCAGTTGTACACCAAGACCAAGCTGTGGCTCTGGATTAGCAGCAGGGGTGGGAAAGGTCTTCTTTTCGGGCTGTGTTGTTTCCCAAGTGTGTGAAGTTGAAGTATTTTAGGACCGTAAGAGCACAATAGTACCCGGAAAGAAGTTGCCTCAGGCTACCATGATAAGTACCGTAGACTGGGGGCTCCACAAATTCATTTGTTCACAGCTGCAGAGTCTGGGAAGTGGAAGGTGCCCGCACATTTGGTTCCTGGTGAGAGCTCCATTCCTGACTTGCAGGCGGCCCCTCCTTCCTCATCCTCACATTGTGTGGAAGGAGAGCGCCCTCTTTCCTCTTCTTCTAGGGCTACCAGTCCTTATAAGGATTAGGACTCTACTCTTAAGACTTCATTTAACCTCTATTTCCTACTAAAAAACCTTGTCTTCAAATACAATCTATACTGGAGGTTAGGCCTTTAACACATGAATTTTGAGGGGGGACACAGTTCAGTCAGTAGCAGCAGTTTATACACAAGTAAATGATGAGTGATGATTGAGAACTGAGGAAAAACAAACTTTCAGGACTAGCATGTACCTGAGGGGCTTTCGTGTATTTTACCTCATTTGTTAAGCGTATGGTGGTTGCCTTAGCACTGGTGAGGAATTCTAGGGAGGACTTGTGTGGGGTCGCGGCTGTCCACCACACAACCAACTTGAAGAGGTCAGAGCAGTTACACCAGATGTCCATAATGGCACTTAGTGAATCTGTTATTCAAGGATGTATGGAAACACTTTTTTGTAATGTCCATCGATTCCCAGGCAGGGGTGGAAGAGGGTGATGGGCAACAAGTATGAGGTTGCAGCTGATTAGGTCAGGCTGAGTAGTGATCTATTTTAAAAGGCGAAGCAGTGCTGATTAGATTTTTCTCTTGGGATTTTAAAACTAAGAAATGTGGAAAGAATTTCCCCCTTGCAGTGGGAGCTGAAGCTCAAAGGTAGAGGGTGCTGAAGAGGCCCTGTGCAAGCTGAAGTTTGGGGTAAGCAGAAGCTATGGATAAGCAGAGAAGGTCAGCAGATGGCTCCATCTGGCATGTGACTGAACAGCAGAAGGGCGATCTGTGGGCACTTATTTGCTGGGGAAATTCTTGGTGCTCTGGTAGAGGCCAGATTACTTTGTAAGTTCTAGTCTGCAAGAAATCCCACTCTGTCAGTGGCTTCGCAGATTTCACAAAATTTCTCAATATGTATATTTTCACTAGATCTGCTTTTTACTTATGTGATTATCTCTTGCCAGATGACTCTGACTCAAAGAGAACCATATGGACCTTCGTTTGGATCCCTGGTTTTCCTCTTGTTAACTCTGCCTCTGAAAATTATTTAATGTCTGAAAGTGAATACCCGACAACTGTATTCCTATAGTGCTGTACAGGTTAACTGGGCTAATAATAATGAAAAGTCCTGTGGAGTGTTTAACACACAACTTTGTGATCAAAATTTGTTGGATACCTTTCTCTTTTCTTCCTGTTTGAATGGTTTTTTGATTACGTGCCTCCTTCTTAGTATTGAATGGTCTGTTTTTGTTTTTTTTTTTTTTAAGAATTTATTTATTCATGGAAAAAGAGGCAGAGACATAGGCAGAGGGAGAAGTAGGTTCCCTGCAGGGAACCAGATGTGGGACTTGATCCCAAGACTCCAGGATCATGACCTGAGCCAAAGGCATAGACACTCAACCACTGAGCCATGCAGGTGCCCCTAATGGTCCTGGTTTTTAAAAGTTCTCCTTCTTGTAGTTCTTTAATCTCCAGTCCTGTTAGGTGCCTCTAAACTATAACTGGAAGACCATCATGGGGACTCCCCTTCCCTTCATAATTGTATTGACACTGTCACTGGTGTTAATGAGGCCAGTCATGTAGCAAGATGGGAAGTAGATTTCAGATTGATTAGTACTTATTCTTTTAGCAATAATCGCACCTTGGATAAACCTCATTGGCTACGATACTGCCACTGAGTAAAGCTGATTAGTACTTATTCTTGGAAGAGATGGGCCTGCCAAATAGTTTGGGGCAGTGACTTCCAAAGAGAGTGTGGGAACCCCCGTAGAAGAGTCAGTCCACCAAATGATGAAAGGAAGAAAGGGTTGGGTGCCTGGCTGGCTCAGTCTATAGAGCATGTGACTCTTGATCTCAGGGTCATGAGTTCAAGCCCCACATTTTACATGGAGCCTACTTAAAGATTAAAAAAACAAAACAAAACTAAACTAAAGGAAGAAAGGGTATGGAGAAGCTGCCTCAGAGAAATTTGGTTCAGAAGAGGGGGAGGAAAAGAATTAAATGTGGAGCCGAGAAGTTCTTAGCTCTTGGTCTGATAAGAGAAATGCTGTGGTCTTGAAGTTTTGCGATATAGGTAAAGTTTGGTAGGGTGAGGCCTGGAGCTGATAACCAAGAAAGAATTCTTGAAACGTCTTTGGTGCAAAATGGTGGTTTTATTAAAGCAGGGGGATAGGACCTGTGGGCAGGAAGAGTGGCTGCCCTGGGCCTGTAAGTGGTGGCTGACTATGTACAGGAGAGTTGGAGAGGTTTGAGGATAGCCTCCTTTCTAAGGAATTTTGGAAGCAAGGTTTCCAAGATCTTGAGGCAGCTGGCTTTCATTGGGAAAAGGTCACTTATTATCATCTAATAAAGCCTGAATCATGAGACCCTTCAGATGTATGTCGGTGGGCCATGTGCCAAGGAAGATTGCCAACATGTATCTTGGGGATTTAGAGATAAAGGGAGATTGCTAAAGGAATTTTTTATATGTTAAAGTAAACTCTCAGGGTCATAGGGGTCGGGCTAAGATTGCTTTTTGCTCTTAGCAAAGTATTAACATTGAGGCAGTTGAGTCTCTAGAGGAAAGTCCCTCTGCCTGTTTCAAGGACTTGTCAGTGTATTTTGTCCTCAGCTAGCCCTCTTTTCCCCCGTCAGTCTCAGTATTGGGGAGCTCTTCCAGCTGTGAGGAGAGCTCTCCCAGTGTGCAGCCAGACAGAAAAGCTCTTATTTCTTGAGGCTGGGAAAGTTTTAGGAGGAGACTCTGCTTTATACTGGAATTGGAGGCTAGGACGAACTAAGAAATGAAAGTTCCCATGAAATATGAATGTATGTGTGCACCTGTGTATGCCATGTGAAAAACTGTACTAGTGATTCTCTGCCTATGTGTCATGATTCTACAGGTCTTGGCAGCAGGACTAAGGACTGAGGTGGCTTTGCCAGGCAAAGGCTATGCTGCAGATGTGTGCAGAACCGTGCTGCACAGGTAGTGGGAGCAACATCTCTGACCTCAGGGGCACAGGTCCTTGAGAGGAAGTTGCCACACTTTTCCTGGAGGCATTAAAGGGTGTTGAAGAAGCAGAGGAATCCCAGGTAAAATGGCAGGATGGTTTTTGTGTTGGAGCTCTGCTGGGCTGTGTTTTGCATAGCCAGTTCGGATAAGTATCATTAGATGGATTGCACAATCTGGGATGTGCACCTTGGGGAGACTGTGGTCTCTGCTTGCAAAAAAGTGTACAACCCTTGGAAAAATTCCATTAGCTAGTATTGAGAGTGCTCTTAAGAACTGTTCTAGATTTCGAGCCAGTACTTCCAGATTTATTTATTTATTTATTTATTTTTTCCCCCTAGGACCATGTCTAATAAAACCCAGGAGATTGGTGATATCCATTTCCCTTTTCCCTTCACACCCTATTCCATCCAGAAAGACTTCATGGCTGAGCTATATCGGGTGTTGGAGGCTGGCAAAATCGGAATATTTGAGAGTCCGACTGGCACTGTAAGTATGAATTGTCAGGGGCCGAGAGGGTCCTGAGAGACCCTGATTACCACCACAGAGGCCACCTAGCATTGTTAACCTAGGCAGAGATTTTCATGGTTTGAAGTTGGGCACAGTTGTTCCCTTGGTTTCTCTGAGTAACAGTCACATCCTCTGTTAAATGTTAAACCAGGGGCTAAAGCCAAAGGAGAATTTGAATGCCTGTAGAAACCAAGACCCAGAGCACCGAAACTTTCCAGATTGTTCTGGGCACACAGCGGCTTTGCTGTTGAGAAACAAATTACTATGCCTTTTTCACAGATTTAACAAATTGGTTTAGTCTTCAGGAATTAGGTTACTGAGTGCTGGAGAGATCCAGTCAAAATCTCCTGGGTTTTTCCTTCCGGGAGTGGAATGATGGAGGAATTTATTAGAGGGTGGCCAGCAGGAGGATCAGGGCTGTGGCTAGCAGTCCCCACCTCTCGCTCAGTGCTGTGTGGTGATGGTGAGCTGCGTGTGATGATGTGAAGGTCCAGCCAGGTCAAGACCTCCTGGAGGCCCCCCTCTGCGTCCCTGACATCCCCTGGAGCTTGGCAAGTTCTGCTCCCTGGAGGCTCTTAAATGATGCAGCAGGACTTCTTCCTCTACCAGTCCACTGAGGTGGTTTTTAGTATCAGCAGTGACTTGCTGATTAGTAGACTAGGGTGTTTCAAGTCCTTATTTGACCTCTCTGCAGCAGTGTTGTTGAACATATCCCTCTCCTTTGTTTAAAGTCTCATAAAAATTTAATCAAAATGGTGCATGTCATTTAAAAAATTAAATTTATCGAACTTGGTTCTTTGGGCAGGTGCTTTTAATTCTTTTAACTGGTTCCTAAGAAATATACTTGCATAGCATATCTGAAATGGTAAGCTTGGTGCTATTTCTGGTTTTTTTTCATTTTAGTCATTGTACCTTCTTCTTGTGACAGCTAATATGTAGCTCTCTTACCATCTCAGTCCTTTCCCTCCCTTGCCCCCATCCTCCCAGTGTAGTTAGATGGAATTTTTTAGCCTCTGCTAAGTCAGTATGCCCTGATTATGGGTTTTCTTCTTGAATAATTTTTGTTTTCCCAGAGTTGATAATTGCCTTTTAAAGTTTGTCTAGTTATTAATATACCTTACACCACTATCTCTCACACATCCAGTAGTCTCTCCGTATGATAGTCCATACAAAATTACTGCTTAGTCTGGCTGCTCGGCTGCCATAACAAAGTACTACAGACTGGGTGGCTCAGATGACAGAAATTTCTTTCTCATACTTTGGGAGGCTGAGAAGTGCAAGATCAAGGTTTGGGCAGCCTCTGTCTTCTAGTGGGGACTCTTCTGGATTGTAGAGGGCCCTCTTCTCGCTGTGTCCTCTACAGCAGTTTTATCAGATCAGGGCTCCACCCTGAGGATGTCATTTAACTGTAATCTCCTTTCTCCAATATAGTAACATGGGGGTTAGGCCTTCAACAAATGAATTTGTAGGGGGACATAATTCAGTTTATAGTAATTACTAACTCCATTTTACCCTGGAGATTTCCTTCTTCAAGTTCTCTGTCTACTCCTAAGATCTGTTTCACAACTGTTGTACTAGGGATTTCCCTTCTCTCCTTTAAAAAAAAAAAAAAAAAAAAACTTTATGGAGTGTAATTGACATGTAATAAAATATACCCCTTTTAAATCCCCAAGTTCAATGAGTGTTAACAGACATAAACCCCTATGTAACCACCACCACAATAAGGATGCAAAACATTTCCATCAGCCCAGGAAGTTTGTTATACTTTTGGCTGCTGTCCCTTCCCTAACCCCCACCCCACCACAGCCAGCCAGTGATCACTTTCCATCTCTCTCTCTTTTTTTTTTTTTTAAGATTTTATTTATTTATTCAGAGATAGAGAGAGAGAGAGAGAGAGAGAGAGGCAGAGACACAGGCAGAGGGAGAAGCAGGCTCCATGCAGGGAGCCCGATGCGGGACTCTATCCCGGGACTCCAGGATCATGCCCTGGGCCAAAGGCGGTGCTAAACCGCTGAGCCACCCAGGCTGCCCTCACTTTCCATCTCTTAAGATGAGTTCTGTCTTTCTAAAATTTCATAAAAATGCAATCATACAGTAAGTACTCTTTTGTGACTAGCTTCTTTTGCTCAGCCAGCATAATATTTTGGGGATTCATCCATGTTGTTTTATGTATTCTTATTCTTTTTTGTGTTGGATTCTCTGTTTTCCAGATTTTGTATCTTCTTGGTTTACTTCTTGTTTCGGTAGAGAACATTCCTGAAGGGTTGGATAGGAGATAAGATTTTGAGACTTGGCTGGGGAAAATGTATTAATGTGCCTTTTCACTTAATTAATGGCGATAGCTCGGTTGGGTATATAATTCTAGCTGCAGAATGCTTTTCCCTCACAGTTGGCTCCCTCTACCCCCTGGTTTCCATTGTTGCTATTGGGAGGTCCAATGTAACCTGTACCTCACTCCTTGGTGACTTGATTTACTCCACCCTCCAGAGTTTTCAGGTTACCCTCTGTCCTTTGTATTGTGAAATCTCGTGTTGGTGGGTTTGATGAGTGTTTAGTTCTTTGTATTGGCCGCTTGATGGGCACTTTGCATCTAGAGGTCTCTATTTTTCCATCTGAGATGTTTTCTCACGTTTGATAATCTTCCTGATACTCTCATTCTTTGAATTTTGGATCTCCTGGCTAATTCTGTAATTAGGTTTTCTAATTGCCTATCCCTTTGGGTATTGTGGTTTCTTTTGCTTTTGCTTTGCTTTAAATCCTACTTCCTCAAGATTCCTTTGACTTTTTTTGTCCAGTCTGTCTATTCAGTTTATTTCTGTTATCCTAGCCTTAATATTTAAGAATTTGTTCTTATTCTTTTTTTTTTTTTTAAGAAAATAGCATCCTGTTCTTATTTCATGGAAATAATCTTTTTGAGGTTATCAGTTAAGTAGCATTTTGAATTTTTTCCACCCTGCATTGCATTGTCTCGTCCATCCTTAGCCCTCCCCCAGTTTGGATTCTGTGTTTTGTTGAGAGACTTTCCTCAAATATCTGGTGATCCTTGGCCGTCTTCTGTTACTATTCAACAAAAAGCCACCACAGGGCTGACCAACAGGCTTGTGGTGCAGGCTGGTTGTGAACTGATGGGCTGGCCTCTCTGTTGGGGCCTCTAGTGACCAGTGTCTTGTGTGATTTCTCTCAAGCCAAGCAGTTTTTCTAGGGAAGGCTACTTTAAACTCTTGCCTTCTAGTCCCAGCCTGTTGTCCAATATTCTTGAGGATGTCCGGGTGTATGTGGTCTTTCAATTAGTGTCCTGCTTTGAGTCCAGCCTTCTTCCTCACCCTTCTCTGGACCTGCCACCTCCAGAGCCCTCCTGGCTAAGTGCTTCCAGAGAGTGCGTATCGTGTCTTCTGTAGGGAGGGCATGTCACTGGCAGTTGTGGGGTTTCTGAGGAGGAATTGGAGATCTCTGCAGGCACTTAGGCTTACCAGTGCTCTGCTTTCCGCCTCTCCTAAAACCTATTACTTTGCCATCTTCCACTTTCTTTGTTTCTGGGGTTTTAAAACCACAGCCTCTTTTCCTTTGGTGTAATTTTAGCGTGTTTCAGAAAAAACACAGAAGAGCACACATTCATTCTGCCCTGTTTATCCTGAAGGCTCAGGTCCCCATCTCAGCCCTCTGTCCGTTCCATGCAGCCTGTTCCTCTGCTCAGCCCTTCTTGTTGATGTCCTTGGTTCTGGGGCCTTATATCCATACCATACTGTTACTTGCTGTGCCTCACCTGCTAGACCTCTACCTCGGTGGCCAGGCTGCCTGCTTAGCCCCTGATGATGCCTGCTTCCCTTGTACGTGTCACCTTTTTAATCTTCCATGAGTCTACCATATCGTGCTGACCTCTCGACCTTGTGCCCGTTGTGCCGTGTGTAACACTGCAGTTTTGTGCGCTCTAAAACCTGGAGTCCACGCTTCACAGAGAGATGTGACGCCCTGCAGATCGTATGTGAAGTTTGTGCCTGTGGGCATTTTCTGGAGAGCTCTGTACGCCAGGATCAGGCCCAGTGCTTGCTTTGGTGTGGGTGTTTAGAATGAATTAATTTCTGTATTGTGGCATAAGTTATATAGCTGTGCTGTCTTGGATGACACTCTGAGATGTTCAAAGCTGGGTATGCTGTGGGTACTTTATTAAATTTATTTTCTAATCTAGGTGAGCATTTGGTCATACATTCCTTTAACGTTTTCCAGCTTTTTGTTGTCTAACTAGAGGTTATAGAATTGCAGGCCTCTGTTTTCCTTGCTCTTTGTGTTAGTGCAGGTTCATGGTTATTCCTGGAAGATATCTCAACCATTCCCTTAGGAACTTCCTCAGCTCACTTTCCAGGGGAAGGTGCTGGCTTTCTGACTCTGGGCCATTGTCAGAGGGGGGTGTCTCCCCTGCTCCTAGCTTGGTGGTGGCTAAAGCCAGTGGCTCCCCATTTTACTGGCCAAACAGAATGGCTGCTCTTCAGGCTCTGCTGGGGAGTGCTGTTTGGAAGTCTTTGCCATTCTGTATTTATCAAAAACTGAAAGAAACAGTATAGATGGGGCTTTTCCAGAGATACGTCGTCTATTCATTCTTCAGAAGTGCCATTCTGTCATAGGACCTTACGAGAATCTGATGGAATAGGGTCTTATTCTAGAATGTAATTTATTATTATTAATAGCAAAAAATAGCTCCAGTTGCTCACTTATGTAACAGGTATTATTCTAACCCTGTTGTAGGTATTAACCTTTATGGATATGAACTTAATGCTTGCAGCAACACTTTGAGGAAGGTACTGTTACACGCACGCATGCGCACACGCGCGCACACACACACTTTTTTAATTTATTTTTTAAACTGTTTCTATTTTTGTATATGTAGAACACACAAGCCTAGAAAGGTTAGCCTTAGGTCACAGAGCTGGTGAGCAGAGGAGCCAGTGTTTGGCCAAGCAGCTGAGAGCGTGAAGCCTTAGCCGCTGTGCTCTGTTCTTTCCCCATCTCTGAACACTGTGCATTTTAACCAACAGTTTGTTCAAGCCCATATGAGGTTCAGGACCTTTTTGGATACTCCCAAGATTTGCCTGGGTTAAAACAGGCTCAGAGAACTGACTGCCTGACCAGAACATGTTGGCTCTGGAGAGGCTTGCCTCAACTGAACTGTCCTTTGGACCCCAGAAGAAGCACCCTCCCAGAAGGACTGTCTCAGTCCTCCCAAAACCATAACTGAGTTCCACAGGCTGGGGACTTAGACAACAGAAACTTACTCTTCACAGTTCTAGAGACCAGAAGTGCAGGATCTAGGTGTCAGCAGGTTGGGTTCCCTCTCAGGCACATGAGAGGAGACTGTTCTGTCCTCTCCTTAGTGTGTAGGTGGCCATCCTCCCCTGTGTCTTAGCGCGTTGCCTTCCTTCTGGGCGTATGCCTTGGTGGCCTAGTTTTCCCTTTGTGAAAGGAAACCAGTCTCACTGGATCAGGGCCCCCATTCCTCCTAATGAGTACTCCTAATGAGTACAGGTAAGGTCACATTCTGAGACCCTCAGGGTTAGGACTTAATGTATGAATTTGAGGGGACACACACACTTCAACCCACAGCAAGGACCCACGGGAAAATTCTGGTCTTTAAGAATTGTGTTCTCCAGAGCAATTAGTTTGCTTTAAAAATTTTTTGAAAACTGAGACTGACGGGACTGATCATGTTCTGTCTGCATGTGGGCTGTATTAAAACATAGAGCCAAATGTGGCTCTCCCTTAGTATATAGGATTGCAAGCTATGTATATTTTGGCTTTAATTCTTTTTGGGGGCCATTTATCTAATTCTTCACCTTCTAATTATGTTAACTTGTAGTACTTATGTGTAACCTGAGAAGCCACATTAATTTATCTTAGGAGCAGTGGGCTATATAATTAAACCAGGAACTTTATTTTTATTTCTTCCTTTCTCCTGTTTTTCCTGACTGTCCTTTTGCTAATTCCCTTCCTTTCCTGTCCCAGGTTGGTTTTAGAGCGCCTTCTAATATTCAAAGTTAGACCTTCCTGGAAGGCTTGCTTAAAATGGGAAATGTCATTTGGAAAGCTTTGGTTTTTATTCTCCTTTTTGAAGACCTCTTTCTTCCTGTAGGGAAAATCTTTAAGTGTCATTTGTGGGGCCCTTTCCTGGCTCCGTGACTTTGAGCAGAAGAAACATCAAGAAGAGGCACGTCTCCTTAAAGCTGGAACTATTCCCCTAAGCGATGGGAAGGAGCAGCCCCCACCTCTCTCTGCCTCTTGCAAAAGGACCCCAGACACCCTGAGCCCTGTGGGAGAGCCTGACTGGGTGACTCAGTTTGTGCAGAAGAAAGAAGAAAGGGACCTGGTAGACCGACTGAAGGTGAGCTGGGGGGCACAGAAGATGGGTGCCATCCAGGAACCAGGCCTGGGTGGTAATTTGGGGTCGATGCCGGGAGTTAGTGTGTCCTGTGCCTTTGCAGTGCCTTCCTGAGCCTACGGTGCTGTGCCTGAGCTGTCTTTTTAAAGCTGATGTCAACAGGCCTTCTTTAGACAGGTGTTGATGGTTCCATGCATTACCCACCTGGGAAAGGAGCCTCGCCATTGCCATTGGCAGTGCTGTTTAGTGGCTTCAAACTCCATTAAGGGAATGAATTTGAGTGTGTAGACCTCAAGGTTGTGGGGCAGTGGCTGGGGGTAGGGGTTGTGTGTGTGCTGCCATCCCTGGAATGTGTTGGCCACAGAAGAGAGAAATGGCCTATGTGCAGAGGCCCTAGGCTGAGCCCCAGACTCTAGAAGAAGGCCGTGGTTCTGGACTTCTGCAGGAGTTTCCTTTCTGGCTTCTTCACCCCCTAGGAGGAGCAGGTCAGGAGGAAGAAGCGGGAGGAACGCCTGCAGCAGATCCGTCACAACGCACAGCTCAAATATGCAGCCAAGCGTGTGGTAAGTGTCCTCTGCGGGGGTGGCAGGGATGGTGCGCAGGCACCGTCATGCCGCGTGTGGCCTCATGGTGTCACTCTCTTGGGTGAGTGGCCAGGGCCTTCATCTTCTGGCCCTGATTCCTGCTGGCTAAGTTCTCACTGCCCCTAGCTGGAGCTGAGGTATTGATACCTGGGCTGTAGACACCGATACGAAAGTGAGAGGCCTGTGGGAATGGCGGCGTGCGTGCTGTGAACGTGTGTTGTCCTCGGTTGTCACCACTCTGAGGCAGACTCAGGGCAGCCAGGGGCACTGGTATTGAGATTCCTTTCTCTCCTGCTTGCAATGCTCCTACGCAGAGACAGGAGGAAGAAGAAATGGAGCGTCTCCTCCGCCTCAGCAGAGAGATGCTTGCGGCAGGAACCGGGGCCAAGCCACTAGAGCAGCTGGCATCTGGGGAGGAGGAGCTGGTCCTTGCCGAGTATGAGAGCGATGAGGAGAAGGGAGCGCTTAGTGGGTAAGGTTGTGCTTCTCCTTCACCCACCACCCCCTCCCCGGTCTACCCAGGGGCTCCCAGGGATACCCCTCCTGTGCCCAAAGAGAGACAGGCTGCTTTGTCCCTCACAGGGCATCCGAAGGACCTGCTTGCAGCCAGGTTCCTCCTGAGTGTGCATAAATGGTGGGGATATGGCCCCCAGTCTTTTCCCTCTGCTGGCACTGGCTTCCTGTGTAGGAACTCTGTGACCATCATGACATGTGTGTCTCCCAGTCGCACCCAGCAAGGGGCTGTGTCTTAGCTGAGGCCAAAGGGCTAGGAAGCAAAGGAGCAGGGACTTGCACTCAGATGGGCTGGCTCTAGACTGCGTGCTCTTTGCTCCCACATGACGTAAACCATCAACGTATTGTTTCCTGAGTTGTCTTTTCCACCGTCTGGCTTCCATCTGGGCATCTGATTTGTGAGCAGTAAGCTGCTGGGTAGAGTAGAAGATGCCGAAGATGACAGCAAGGCTGTCAGGAGGTCACACTGCCCCTCATGGGAGGCTCCTTTTTCATCCATGCTTCAGTTAGACAAGTGACCTTTGAGGGTTTGGTGTAGGTGGGGCCTGGTTCCAGATGCCAGGTATGATGGACATGACCCCTGCCCTGGGAGAGCTGTGTGTGGTTGGGGGGTGGGGGTTTTGGGATGGATACACAGACCGTAACTGTGTGAAATGAGCACGTTTGCCTGTGAGGAAAATAAAACCGGTTGCAGTGGGTAGAGCATGGGATTGCACTTCTAGGTGAAGCTAGGAGAGGCCTCCAGGGAGGTGAAGAAGGGTGAGAAAGAGCTGTGGGAGGACCTGGGAGAACCCCAGTCAGAGGCCTGCCGGTGCCCTGGTCTGGAAAGGGGACCAGGTTTGGTGGGTTTGAGGGACCCACAGAAGACTCTGGGGCTGAGCTAAGAGTGAAGGAGGGAGAGGGGGAAAGAAGGGGCAGCCATCTGTTTGGGCCTGGTACTTCCCCTGAGGATTCTGGGTGTCTTTCCCATGTGGCCCGAGTAATGGGGTTTGAGCATTAGGAAGGGCATTAAGGTCATTTTGATATCAGTGGCTCTTTCCCCAAGGCATAGGTGCCCCTAGGGGTCATTCCTTTTAGGCTCCCAGCTTAGAAGGGGTGTTTCCTGCTCCTCTAAAGGGAACTCCAACTTCCATGTGTCCCACGTTGTCATTGATGCTGTGGCCACTGTGTCTGCCTAGAGCATAGCTCCGGGGCCTGAGACTTTCTGTGACTGGTGACAGAGAAAACCTTCACAGCCTGTCTGCAGTGCACCTTCTCATTTCACCCGCAGATGCTTAGTGTCCCGGCTGCCCGGACTTCTGCTCCCTCAGCCTTAGTGAGATAGAATTGGGATGTAATGTTGCGTGAGTTTAAGATGCATATCTTTGATTTGATACACGTATGTATTGCAAAATGACCGTCATGATAAAGGCAGTTAACAAATCCATCCCCTCATGTATGTAATGTTTCTTTAAACAGGTGCTCCCCTGGCACCTGCCTGTGCAGGAGTACCCAGTAGTGTTAACGGCAGTCCTCATTCTGGGATCCTGGAACTTAGTTATCTTATAATGGTCTCTATCCTTTGACTGCCTTCGCCCCACTGCTCAGCCCTTACCAGTCTACTCTCTGTTTCTAGGAGTTTGGTTTTTTAGATCCCACATGTGAGATGACACAAGACTTGTCTTTCTCTGACTTAACATCACTTAGTGTAATACCCTTAGGGTTCATCTGTATTGTCACAAATGGCAGAATTTCCTTCCTTTTTTATGGCTGAATATTTTCACTCTGTGTGAGTGTGTAACATGTTTTTATCCATTCATCTGTCAGTGGATACTTGGGTTGTTTTCATTGTTTTCTTTAGTGCTGCAGTGAACATGAGGGTGCAGGAATCTCCTTGAGATATGGATTTCATTTCCTTCGGATATATACCTGGAAGTGGGATTACTGGATCATATAGTACTTACTATTTTTAATATTTTGAGGAATGGCCAAGCTGTTTTTCAGCTCTTTTCTAGAGAGTGGCTGCACCAGTTTACATTCCTGCCCATAGAGTACAGGGTTCCCTTTTCTCCACATTCTTACTGACACTTATCCTTTTTGTTTTTTTAAGATTTGTTATTTGAGAGTGCACACACACATGCCTGTTTGCACACAAGCAGGGTGGGGGCGGGAGAGAGAGAAGCAGGCTTCCCACTAACCAGGGAGCCCAGCATGGAGCTCGATCCCAGGACCCTGAGATCATGAACAACCAACTGAGCCACCTAAGTGCCCCTGGCCAACCCTTATCTTTTTTATTGCAACCATTGTAACAGATAGTTTCCATGGGGGATCAGTGATGTTGAACATTTTTTCATGTACCTGTTGGCCATTCGTATGTCTTTGGGAGAATATCTCTTCAGTTCCTCTGCCCATTTTATCGGATTGTTTGTTTTTTGGTGTTGAATTGTAGAAGTTCCTTTTACATTTTGGATATGAACCCCTTATTAGATAGGTGGTTTGCGAATGTTTTCTCCCATTTCTTGGTTGCTGTTCCATTTTGTTGACTGTTTCTTTTGCGAGTGCAGAAGCTTTTCAGTTTGACATGATCCCGCTTGTTTATTTTTGCTTTTGTTGCTTGTACTTCTGATGTCATGCCCCAAAAAATCACTGTGAAGACCAATGTCATGAAGCTTTTTCCTTATGTCTTATCTAGGAGTTTTATGATTTTAGGTCTTACATGTAGGATTATAAACCATTTTGAGTTAGTTTTTGTTATCGGTATAGCGTAGGGGTTCTGTCTCATTCTTGTGCATGTGATTGTGCAGTGTCCCCAGCACCAGATTGAAGAGCCTGTCTTTTCTTCCCTGAGTATTCCTGGCTCCCTCGTCAAGGTACATACTACTTTACTGTACCTGCATGGCTTCATTTCTGGGCTCTGTTCTTTTCCGTTGGCCTTACATGTCTGTTTTTATGCTAGTACCATCCTGGTGTGATTACCATACTGTTTTCATGCCAGTACTGCATTGTTTTGATTGTCATACTGTCTGAAATCAGGAAGTGCCTTCAGTTTTGTTTTTTCTCAAGATTGCTTTGGCTATTTGGGGTCTTTTGTGGTTCCATATGATTTGGGGGATTTTTCTTTATATCTGTAAAAAATATCATTGGAATCATGATAAGGGATTACATGGATCTATAGACGGCTTTCGGTAGTATGGACATTTTAGCAGCATTAAATTGACCTGTGAACATGGGATATTCTGCTATTTGTGTCGTCTTCAGTTTCTTTCAAGAGGAATCCCACTTGATCATGGGGCATGACCCTTTTAATGTGCTAATGAATTCGGTTTGTGAGTGTTTTGTTGAGAGTTTTTGCATGTATTTTCATCAGATATATTACTAGCCTGTAGTTTCTCATCTTTGTAGTGTCATTAGCTGGCTTTGGTATCAGGGTAATGCTGGCCTTGTAAAATGAGCTTGGGAGCGTTCCCTCTTCATTTTTTTGGAAGAGTTTGAGAAGGGTTGGCATCATTTCTTTAAATATTTGATAGAATTTGCCAGGGAAATCATCTGGCCCTGGGCTTTTCTTCACTGGTGCTAGAGGCCTGCTCCCTAACCACAGATTTTAGGACCTGGATTAATTAGAACTAAAACTTCTGACCCTGTTCAGGGCTGAGATGGCCAGACCTCTTGATGCATCCCACCTCAGGGAGGTAGGAGCAGCAAGTGCCCCCATAAACCCTTTGCCACCTGCCTTCCAGATTGCTGGCTCACTCTTGTATTTCTCAAGAGCCCCCCTAAGGACAAGAGAAAGAACTTGGGTGGGGTTTGTGAATATTAGAGAAACAAAATGCTATTTATATTTAGGGTCTGGGCCTGAGCCATTATTCCTGTGGATTGACTTCTACAGCTTCTAGTGTCCTGACATTTCAAGAGACTTGGGCCTCTCTGAGAACACAGCTAATTCTGAATAGAACATTTTTGCTCTTCATTTCTTTACACATCCAGCTTCTTATCTAGATCCTATTGAGTTTGCTTACTTTGTGGTAAATAATTTAAATCCAGGCCTTTCAGACAATGCTGACTGAACAATTGTTTATTTATTGACCGGGAAGGCAACCCTATAAATAACTCCTCTTCTGATTGCTCAAGGAAATTGGCATTTCTGCCCCCCCCCCTTTTTAAATTAATTTACCAGGTGATTGAAAAGAGTCCCAGTGCTGGCCCTGCAGGGGGATCGTGTCTGTGAAACGTTTTGTGTTTTCTGAGGAGCCTGGACTAATCCTGTTGACTAACTGTGCAGCCTTGTAATGCAGGGTTGACCTCGCTCCCAGCCCTCAGTGCATGTGGGCTCTTCATGTGTTATTGGGGAGGACAGCCCTGAGGTGCCGAGGAGAGAAGAGGTCTACCTGGTTCTGGGGGACAGCGTCTTTTATTCGGTCAGTTAGTTGGTCGTGACTTTCCTTAGGAAGTATGCATGGAGTTCCTGCTGTGTACCAAGGCCTGGGTGGGACCCCAACACTCAGAAGCAAGACATCCCCGAGTCCTGCCTTTGGACATGAATCTGGAGGGGTGGGCAGACCAAGAGTAAATGGTTTTTGAATGAGATGGGTATTACAAAGAACAGGTGCAGGGGGCTACAGCATTGTGTCACGGGCCAGTCAAGCCTCTAGGGGAGGTCAAGGAAGGCTGCCCAGAGGCTGCGGTGTTTATTGGCCATCTCAAGGTTGACAGAGTTGGCTAGGTGAAAGAGGACATGAGGGGAGAGTGCATTCCAGGTAAAGAGAACAGCATATCCAGGGCTCTGAGGTGGTAAAGAGTGAAGTTCTGTGGGGAGCTGAGAGAACTCCAGTTTGCTGGAGAGTGGGCAGTGAGGACAGAGTCAGAGACCGAACCTAGGCTTTGGGAATACTGTGGCCTTGTCTCAATCCCTCCTGAGTGACGGAGGATGGGGTTGGCGTCAGGCCGACGTGTCTTCCTGTTGTGTCTTCCTGACAGCGAGCAGGCACTTGTTTTGGTGAAACTTTGTTGCTGGGATGTGTCTGTCCCCCTCTGGCTCAGAGGTCCAGCCTCAGCTCTGCTGGCCTCCAATGACAGGAATTGCCTCTTATGGGCTTAGGCCCGGGGCTAGTTGCTGGCACATGGTAGCTGCTCAGTTAAGTGTTTTTACTTGATCTGAGTTCCCTGAGAAGACTGTTTTTTCTGTTATTTTTCTCTCTCAGAGTGGACGAGGATGAGGATGATCCAGAGGAAGAACATGTAACTAAGGTAAGACATTATGTCCTGGGTATTCTGGGCCTGGTCCTGAGTCCAGGGCTCTGTGTGTCCTCCTAGCTGTTTCTCACTCTTTCATTGACGAAGAGACTCTAGCTTCCTGACCCTGGGGTTCACCGGACCCAGACCTTGCTGTTGAGGTGCTCACTTGGCAGGCCCCTGGACCAGTGGTGTGTCTGTGGGGCGGCAGGGGGTGAGGGCTGGCTGGAGCAAGAGCACCCTGCCCTATGGCTCCCTTATTTGTGTTTTGTTGGCATGGAGTGCTATGAGGTACATAGAGTTCTGACACCTGTCATGTTTAAAAACGTGTGGTTTTCATTTGTGTAAGACTTCTGTTGTCTCTCTTTAGGGTAGATATTTCCCCCCTACTTCTCTTCCTCTTTTCTCGCTCTTCTCAGTCTCAGAGGAGCATAGAGCACAGCTCAGCACCCCTCACCCTGTTCAGTGCCAGTTCCCCAAACCCTTTGGGAGGTGTATATGGGCATCCCACCCCCCACACACTCCCCAGAATCTAATCTTTCCCTCTTGGAAACCACAGCTCAGGGAGACAGCCTGTCCTCAGATGACCAGGCCCTGAAAGGGGCTGGGTTAGGGGCCAAAGCAGGACTGAGGGGAGGGGACCTCCATGTTGTGGGTGTTCCCATACACTTCTGGAGCCTAGATGGGGAGAGGGGGACTACCTGGGCCCAGTGTTAGTGGAGATCTGCTATGGGACATAGTCCTGTTGCTCTAGGTTTGTGTATTTATGGTTGCTCTCCCCACTCCCTCATCCTACGAGGCCATGCATTCCTTGATGTACAGAGAATATTTGGAAGTGTTGTAGTCTCCTCCTTGAAATCCCCTGCCTTTCCTTGGAGCAGATTTACTATTGCAGTCGGACGCACTCCCAGCTGGCTCAGTTTGTGCATGAGGTGCAGAGGAGCCCCTTTGGCAAGGACACCAGGCTTGTCTCCCTCGGCTCTCGGCAGGTACACAGAGGCATTGGGTCTTAGGCCAGGGGGCTGTCCTGCTTCCTTTCCTGGGCGTTTCTAGGCATGGTAAGGTGGTGGGTCCAGGGCAGGCTGCACAGGGGGAGGATTGGCCTCTTCTGGATCTCTGCAGGGCTGGGCAGGCCCTGGTGGGTTGTTGTATATCATGTAGTCATTGCTGTGCCTCTTTCTTTCTCCTGTCTTCTAGAGTCTTTGTGTAAATGAAGATGTGAAAACCCTGGGTTCTGTGCAGCTTATCAATGACCGCTGCATGGAGATGCAGAGAAGCAAACACGGTAGCCACAGTATCTGGAGCTGTGGAAAGAGCCTCTGGGACTCTCATTTAGCCTTGGGGCAGTACTGAGAAGGGATGGGAAGGGGGCGGTGTGCTGGAAGCAGGCCAGTGACGTGGTAGAGAGACAGTTTTCTCAGTGGCTGTGATGGCAGAGCAGACAGCTGGGTCCTTCCTAAAAATCGTCTCCTTGGAAAAAGGTGTTTTGCTTTTTGGGATAGTGGCTAGTCCAGAACCCTGGCTCTAAAATGATTTTATTGACTTTTTCTAGAGAACACAAAGTTAAATGCCAGAATGATGTGCTGAGACCATCCTAAGCAGTACTTGGAAGGTTTTATTAGACCCTGCCCTATGGAATTGGGTCTTGACATCATAGACCCCCGTGGAAGTTGTCATTCCTTCTGCCTTTGTCCCCTCAGAGAACAGAGCTGAGGAAGAGAAGCCCAAGAGGAGAAGACAGGAGCACCAGGCCGCCTGCCCCTTCTACAACTATGAGCAGCTGCAGCTCCTCCGAGACCAGGTCCTGGTGGGGGTGAAGGACATTGAGCAGTTGTTGGCCCTGGGGAAGGAGGCTCGAGCCTGTCCCTATTATGGGAGCCGGTTTGCCATTCCAGCAGCTCAGGTAAAGAGCCTGGGGGTGTTGGGCAGTAACTCTTGACTCCTACTGTGGCCTCAGCCATGAGGGATTTCCTCATTCCTCTTAATTCAGGAGGATTTCCCTGGCTGTGGTTGGACTGACCACACTGCACCCTGGTGACCTGTCACCCCCTCTGTCCTGGTGTGTAGGGACGGAGGTGGCACCAAGTCCCTTCTGGCTCTGGGTTGTAAGAACATTTGGCCTTACTGGGGGCATGAGAAGAGCCAGGAAGTGTACAGTTCTAGTGAAATCAGAATTGGGGGCAGAGCTGAGAGGATGCAGTCAGGGCGGCATGGAACAGAAATACGTTTCCACATGGCCTTTTGGATGAACATCCTGACCTAGGCGCCTAGTTACCAGTGTGGGAGGAGATGGTCTTCTTTAGACTTGCCATGTTGAGTCTCATCTTTACACACAGAAAAACTGTCAGTTTGACAGATCAAAAATACTGTTATTTGGTACAGTTTTATGATCTTCTTGCTACTGCGTAATTCGAGCGACTTTTGGAAATTGGGCTTCATTTGTGAAGAATTCCATACAAGCAGGAAAAGATTAGGTAGGTTTTCAGAGATTTAGGGAACAATGTTAGTGATGACTTTACACGGCAGTTAAATGATTGTTAGTATACTACCCTGAACTATGTTGCATGAGTGCTCAGAGGGAAATTCTAGAAACTTCACAGCCCCCATCGTTGTCACATGTCCTTCCTGGGGTCACAGGGTTAGTGCCATAGATACCTGTGAGCACATATAGTAAGATGTCCTGAAGATTTTCATGATCTTGACTTTTTGAGACACTTGTCAAGCCTTGTTTTTGCTTTGTAGTATCCCAATGAAAAAGCAAAGGCAGGTATTATCCATACGTATGCATGAGGACACAGGCCCAGAAGGGCTAAGTGATTTATCTGTTTTCTCACATCAGGTGAGTAATGGAGCCAGGATTAAAGCTGGGCCTTAGTTTCCCAGTTTTCTGGATTTTCACTTTATCAGTATTCTTTTAACTGGGAAACTGTCCTCACAAGTAGCACTTAGAAATTTACAGAATGCTTTTATTTTTGTTGCCCTAACCTCCAGCCCTTAGCCCTCATTTGAGATAGAGTTTAGCAAGTCCATTTTGTAGATGAAGAAACCAAGGCTCAGAAAAGGTTAACTAAGTGAGTTTCCCAGAGTCACACAGCTGGGAAGTAGCAGCTCCAGGACCAGAATGCAGGGTGACCCTATAGTACACCAGGGGAGCCTTGGGCGCCTCAGAGGCTACCTCAGGGGTATGCATCAGGCCGAGCACTCCTCTCTGCTTCCCTCTTCCCACCCCCGCTCTTGGTTCAGTCAGAATCAGATTGGTTCCAGTTTTGTCGCTTTTGTACTTAATGTTCCACGTGAAACTTGAGGCAAGGGTGTGTTGCTAAAAGCATAGTACCCTGCCCTAGCTTTCCCTCTTGAACGTCCCTGCACATATTCTGGGTGGGAAAGCTATTCCCACCAAGTGCTTAGAGGAGGCAGAACCCAGCTGCTAGAGCAGGGAGTCTACTGCCACTCAGGTGTGCCCCTCCCCCCCCAGCTCGTGGTGTTGCCCTACCAGATGTTGCTGCATGCGGCCACCCGCCAGGCCGCAGGGATCCGGCTGCAGGGCCAGGTGGTGGTCATCGATGAAGCGCACAACCTGATTGACACCATCACGGGCATCCATAGTGTGGAGGTCAGCGGTTCCCAGGTGGGTCGGCCTCCCCCTTCCTGGGCCGGGGCCTGCTGTGGGGCACCGGGATGGGGAACGTTTTTCTGAGTGCCCAGCCCTGGAATTCGTCTGGCGACGGCTTGGGAGAGGATGCACTGAGTCGAGGCAGTGGCCTCGTCGGAGGCTAACTGGCTTCCCAGCAGATCTTAGAACTCTGGGGACCCAGCTCAGGCAAGATGGCTCATTTCCTTGCTCCTCACTGGCATATGTCATCCCGAGTCCCTCCGGCCCAGGATGCTACCACCTAGTTCTCTATAACCCAGGATGATGGAGTGAGGGAAGCAGGGGTCCTCACATAGTTGATGTCTTGACCATTGCTTTTAGGGGTGCTCTGGGTTTCTAAGAGCCACTACTTACTACCTATTCTGTGCCCCGCACCACATGCAGTATCATGAATTTTCATACTGCCTCCATGTGGGCTGGTGTTCCCAGGTAACACAAAACTCTGAGATTCAGTGGGGGTTTAAGCAGTGTGCTGAAGGTCACACAGCTCATGAGTGTGGAACTGGGACTTGATCCCTGGTTTCTGACCTTGAAGTTCATGTGCTATCCCACCACTTTTTTTTTCTTTTAAAGATTTTATTTATTTGAGAGAGAGACCATGAGCAGGGGCAGAGGGAGAAGCAGACTCCCCACTAAGTGGGGTGTCTGATGTGGGGCTCACTCCCAGGACCCTGAAATCGTGACCTGAGCCAGAGGCAGATGCTTAACCAACTGAGCCCCCCAGGTGTCCCTCCCTGCCCCCCCCCCCCCACTTCTACTGACCAGTGCCTGGGTTGAACTTAAGCCAGGATGTAATGGCTACCTTGAACCATCAATCTGCTTAGTGGAAAACACGTCTTTGCCCAACCTGGTAAAAACTAGCAGGGAGATTCATTACCAGAGAGATTCAACCTCTTGCTCTTTTCCCTGACCCAAAGTGGATGGTGTAGCAGACCCTCCTTATCTTCCCCTCTCAGCTCCCAGCAGCTTCAGGCCTTATAAATCTACCTTTTGTTGTACCCAGGCCTACTACTCTCTTTGCCTTGGCTGCCATGTGGCCTGGCTGACATTTTCTAGGTATAACCTAAGATACCACTGGCTGCTTGCTCAGAACCTGGGCTACCTTCACACCCATTCTTTGTTCTCTCCAGCTCTGCCAGGCCCATTCCCAGTTGCTCCAGTATATGGAACGATATGGGTAAGACACTGCCTCTTGAGGGGGAAGGGAAAGTCCTGCTCAGTCTCTGGGAGAAAGCACTCAGGTCTCCATCTCTGGCCTGGGCCCAGCACCAAGTAGGCCAGTGTGCTGTTCACCTAGTATTCATGGTGGTGTGTACCCCACGTAGGCCGAGGATACTCAGGATGTAGCAGCTGGCTGTGAAGGCCTTGAGTCACAGCGAACTTTCTTCTCTGGGGGCATATCTGTCGCTAGTGGCCTACTTTGAAAGACACAAAGGCCTCAGCCTGAGGCACTTGGAAGGGAAGTTGCTCATGCGGTACTACCACTTGATGTCCATTGATGTCTCCTCAGGAAGCGTCTGAAGGCCAAGAACTTGATGTACATCAAACAGATCCTGTATCTGTTGGAGAAGTTTGTGACTGTGTTGGGTGGTAAGGAGCACTCTGCCCACGCGAAACCCTGGCCTGCTAAGCTTGCTGTAGTCTGCACCCTGGATGCTAGTCAGGACACTTGGCTCTTCTATATACTCAGGAACTGTCTTGGCCATTGATGTAGAAGATTTTTTATTTTTTATAGCTTAGCTGAATTGTCTGATCTCAGCTCCTTTTTTAGATTACTAGTTTATTTCCCCCCGTCGGAGTTCTTTTTATTTTGCCAGACCCTACCCTCCAGGTAGTAAGAGCAGCATAGCATGATAGGACTGTGGAGTCACTGTGGAGTGCTCGTGTGAGGAGAGCAGTGCAGGCATGCTCACCTTCCTAACAAATGAGTAAACTAAAGCCCAGAGCAGGGATGTGACCTGCCTCTGCCTTGTGAACCTCCCATTTCCTTTACTGTGTGGCTATACAGCTGAAGGCTTCCATACGAGCTGAAGTTCCAGGAAGCCAGGGGAGCATTTTCCTGGAGGGATTTTGTCAGATGTTGGTGTTCTTCCCTTCCATCTCTGCCTTGCCATGGGCTGCCATGCCGTCTGAACATTTCCTTGAATCTGTATAAAGTGGTGCTTGGTCCCGGCCTCCTTGGATGTGGCATGAAAAAAATGAAATCACAAGGCTTTGGGCTCCATGTGCAAACATGGGTCAGATTTTGAGGCTCGCTGGAGCTTTTTCTCCCAGTGGGTTTTGTTTTTGTTTTTGTTTGTTTTTGTTTTGTTTTTGTTTTTTTGTTTTTGTTTTGGTGCTTATGAATGGCTAAAAGCCTGTTCAGATATAAATGCTCTTATTTGAGGAGTACAGTATTCAGTGTGAGAAGATGGGGGTCCGAGAATCACCATCCCACCTGCTTGAATTCTCTGTTTTAGGGAACGTTAAGCAGAATCCCAACACACAGAGTCTTTCTCAGACAGGTAAGAGGATTGCCTTCAGAGGCGCAGAGCTAGTCTGAGCTCACCTCTGGGACTTCAGAGCAAGGATTTCAAGGCCCTTCTTTATTTACCTAGGGACAGAGCTGAAGACCATCAATGACTTCCTCTTTCAGACCCAGATCGACAACATCAACCTGTTCAAGGTAGAGGTTTTCACCTTTTTGCGTTTGTATATCCAATTTCCTTATCTTTCTTATCACTTATGAGCAAAACACTGAAGATTGGAAGGAATAAAAAGTAAATGTCTTCTGTCCTCAAGCAGTCTAGAAGCCTGGGGATCTACAGTATAGATTTTTGTAATTACTTATCCCTTAAAGCATTGCATCAGCAATAAAAAGAATCTTCCACTCGGGGTTGAAGGGTCCTAGGGAATGCTGAGAAAAGGGCCTTTCGTTATCCCAAATAACCACAAATAGAAATTGCCAGTCCTTTACTGTGTTCCATCTTTCTTCTGGTGCAGTCTCTGCCCTGTACTTCTAGTCAGAGCAGGAGGTTAACTTTGGGAATGTGATCCTGCTCTGGGGCTGAGGTGGCCCCACCTCCACCCTTGGGCTTGAGTTCAGCCTCTGGTGGTAGCTTGCTCTGGCCTGCTGTGCAGGGTACAGCCACCATTGCTTGACTCAACAACTGAGAGATTCCAAATTACTGAAAATACAGAGCACTTCCTGCGTGTTCAAGGCCATGCACTGGGTGCTGTGACTCCAGGGTATGATGTACCATCACCATTTGAGAGCAGAGGAACCTGAGGTGGGGAGAGATTACCCCAGGAGGGATGGGCACAGGCTGCACACAAGTGAGCAGATGGTGCTTGATGTGTGAGCTGGTGTGTGAATTCCCCTGCCTGGACTCAAGACCTTGCTTGCTTTCCCTCCTGCCTTCCCATTTGTCTTCAAACCAGCTTACCTGCAGCATACCCGTTTTGGTCACAGTCACTGCCATGGCCCCGTCCAACAGGCTGACAGTCTGAGGCCTTTCTGATTCTCCTCTTCTCCCTCTGGGTCCCACGTCCAAACAGTACCCTGGCCCCAAAGCTGGAAATAGCTCTTAAACTTTCTCGCAGTCTTTCCATTCCCACGGCTATGTCAAGGCAGGCCCTTTTTGTCTTGCCTTCTTTCGGCTCCGATTTCACTCTCTCTCCCTTCTGGTGTCTTTCCTACACTACAGTCTAGTGGAGCTTTATTGAAAGATAGTGCTCTTTTTAGAAATCTTCAAAGGCTTCAACTCCTTGTCTTCCTTTTCCAAGCTACACATACTGTGCGCATCAGACATCCCCGAACATGCCCCAAGCTTTACCTCCTTTGTGCCTTTGCTCATACATATTTTTTTAAACTCTGAATCTTTCAAGGTTCAGTTTAGGTGCTGGCACATTGAAGGAGAATAGAGGGGATGTAACTGTCACCAAGTACCTTTAGAGAGGGTCAGAGCCGTGCAGACACGTTTGTGAGGGGACAGCGTGCATGAGGCTGGCTCTTGTGGGAAAGCATTGTGTTGTGTGTGGGGGTGGCAGGAGAGGAGTGACTACAGAGACGAGGGTGACGGGCTTGGCCACAGGGAGGCTGTGGACCCCCCAGGAGGTGGCAGTGAGTCATGCTCGCAGGGGTTTGGGAAGGTGGCAGTTTACTTTTTCCCTCCAATTGTTGCATGCGCCTTCAGTGGGTTCACTTTTGCAGGTGCGCCACTACTGTGAGAAGAGCATGATAAGCAGAAAGGTGCGCCCTCCCCTTCCTGGGTCTGGCCAGGGTCTGCAGCACCCCCAGGCTTCCCTCACAATGCCTTGCTCTCCTCTGCTCCCTCCTTCCCAGGGTGCTGTTTGCTGGGTGGGGTGGGCCACCAAGAGGCCCTGTGGGTGGGGAGGCAAGTAGCGGGCTGTCTGGGCTATGGCATAACTTCCCTGCAGTCAGGGCTCCCAGTGCTGTACCCTCATCCCTCTCTGTGCTCTCTTACCCCTTTCTAGCTCTTTGGCTTCACTGAGAGGTACGGCATAGTCCTCACGCCCTCCAGGGAGCAGCCCAGCCTGGCTGGGTTCCAGCACTTTCTGCAGAGTCTGCAGCCCACAGTCACCAAGAGTGAGTCTGGAGTGGGGAGACTGGGCTGCAAGGCTGCGGGGGGACAGGGCAAGAACATCCATCTCTCAGGCCTGGACTCCTCTCCCTGGGAAAATGGCTTTAGCCCAGCCTCAGGGGTTCCCTCTCACCTCATCCATTGTCCCAGACCCTCTTCCTTCTGCTCTGTGCAGCTCCCATGACCCCTGTGGAGGACGGTGAGGCCAGAGTGCCACGGCCGGCTTCCCCACTGATGCACATTGAATCCTTCCTTGCAGCCCTCACCACTGCCAACCAGGATGGCAGGGTTATCCTGAGCCGCCAAGGTAATCCCAGGGAGGAGCCCACATGGAGCCCAGGAAGCCAGAGCAGGAAAAGATTTCACCCTGGCACCTCCCTGGGTTAGGATCAGGAAGCAGGGTGGTGATGACTGGTGTCCTGTGGCCTGGGCAGGGTGGTGGAAGTGTGGTGAGGAAGGGTGTGAGGCGCTGGGAGGACGGGATGTGTTGAGCCAGACTAGGAGAGAAGTTGTGCAGCCTAGTGATTGACGGTGAGATGGGTCTTGGTTTGAGTCTTGATTCTATCATCTCCAAGCTGTGTTTATCTCCCTGAAGATGAATGTGCCAAGGGAGATGACTACCTCGGGGTTGTCCTGGAGATTAAATGGGATCTAATCAAAAAGGAAAATGGTATCTCCTGTGGCTCCTATGTAGACACAACTGACCTCCCCTTTACCTCACACTCAAGCAAGTCTTTGTTGGGCCTGCCACCCACCCCCTGCCCCCCAGAGCTATCTTTTTTTTTTTTTTTTTTTCCAGGAAGCCTTAGTCAGAGTAGCCTCAAATTCTTGCTCCTGAATCCAGCCGTGCACTTTGCCCAGGTGGTGAAGGAATGCCGGGCTGTGGTCATTGCAGGGGGTACCATGCAACCGGTAAGGGAAACAGACCCTGCCTCTTGTGCCCTGGATGTTGGGATGGGACTGGGACAAGGGAAGGATGCACTGTCAGGCCTCTTCTGTCCAGTGGGTCCCCATGCCAGAGGGGTCAGCCTGAGCAGGCCAAGCAGCATCCACCAGAGGGCATTGCTGTGCTGTCTGCTGCCTGAGCCCTCAGCCCCAGGGGCACTGCTGCTGATGCTTCTGTAGACACAGTATCACACTTCTCCCAAAGGCAGCTGTTCTGGAATTTGAGGACCCCGTTGGGTGCCTTGGTGCCATTCCTTTCTTATACCCACCCTAGTTACAATCTCTTATAAATTCATATATACACACACTCACTATGTTTTCATTGTAGGCAGCAGGGGACAAGCAAAAGTGGGAAAAAAATAGATAATTCCACCAGCAGATTTTTTCATTTTAGTATGTATCATTTAACTAGTTTTTGTATGTATTCTTAAAAATATACATACAGGGGATCCCTGGGTGGCGCAGCGGTTTGGCGCCTGCCTTTGGCCCAGGGCGCGATCCTGGAGACCCGGGATCGAGTCCCACGTCGGGCTCCCGGTGCATGGAGCCTGCTTCTCCCTCTGCCTGTGTCTCTGCCTCTCTCTCTCTCTCTGTCTCTGTGACTATCATAAATAAATAAAAATTAAAAAAAATATATACATACATATTTTAAAAACAAAGATCTCTGTCTCTACATGCTGGTGCTATGATTTGTTTTTTTCATGCAGCAACAAAATGTCATAAACATTCTTCCTTGTCAGGAGTATGCGTTTATCCCACCGTGCTCTGGCTGTACTTAACTCTATCATGTGAATATATTGTACGTTGTACAACCACTCTTCTTTTGTTAGATACCCAGTTTTTGTCCGTTTTAAGCAACACAATGGCACATAGAAGCATGCCTCTGCACAGTGGACTTAGCTGGTAGAAGGCTCCTTGGTGCTCCCACACTCAGGGGCTCCTCACCCCAGCTGTTAGTCATCCCTGTCGCTTTATTAGTTTTCCACTTTGCTTTTTCTTGTCTAGACTTAGATTTTTGTTCATGTATTAAAATCCTTTATAGTCTGGGTGCCTGGGTGGCTCAGTTGGTTAAGTGTCTGCCTTCAGCTCAGTGGTTTTGAGCCCCATGTGGGTCTCCCCTCTCAGTGGGGAGCCTGCTTCTCCCTCTCCCTCTCCCTCTGCCTGCTGCTCCCCCTGCTTGTGCGTGCATACTCTCTCTCAAGTAAATAAAGTCTTGGAGCGACTAGATGGCAGTTGAGCGTCTGCCTTCAGCTCAGATCATGATCCCAGGTCTGGGGATCCAGTCTCTCATCAGGTTCGCTGCAGGGAGCCTGCTTCTCCCTCTGCCTGTCTTTGCCTCTCTCTGTGTGTCTCTCATGAATAAAATAAAGTCTTTAAAAAAAAAAAAGATGCATTCAGAAGGTCCCACTTCTGTCCAGCTTCAAGCTGCTCCCTGTACCCAAAGGCAATCATTTTTATTATTACTGGTCTCTCCTTCCACGGTTCTGCTGTATCTTTCTGCAGAACTAAGCAAATAGGGCAGCCCCGGTGGCGCAGCAGTTTGGCGCCGCCTGCAGCCCAGGACGTGATCCTGGATCCCACGTCGGGCTCTCTGCATGGAGCCTGCTTCTCCCTCTGCCTGTGTCTCTGCCTCTCTCTCTGTGTCTCTATGAATAAATAAAATCTTTTTTTTTAAAAAAAGAATTAAGCAAATACTTCTACTTACTTTCTTCCTTTCCTTGCTCCTATGTCAAAGGCAGTGTAGCCAGCGTTTAGTCACCAGTGTGTTGTGGCCCTCAGGCTTCTCAGCGACCGAGGTGGTATGTGTCCCTCCTGCTGGCCACGGAGCCCTCAGCATAGCGCATTCACCCGGCCCCTCCTGAAGGGCAGTGGGGCACTCACAGGTCACTGCGCAGGAAACGTCCCTGTGTCTGTGTTGGGTCTGGAGGCCCTCCTGTGTAGGGAGACTGCCAGGTTAGAAAATAAAAATCTGTTGAATTTCTTAAATATGGTCAGATTCCCCTCCTGCTGGAGGTGACTGGTCTGTCCCCTCTGCCCCCCAGCAGTGTTTGAGTGCCTGTTTTTCCACAGAGTGGTCACATTTGTATAGATTTTTGTCAATTTAATAGGTGAAAACCCTGGAGTGCTTTAAAACAGCGCATGGGTCTCCCTGCCCACCCCACCCCCCTTTTTTCCTTAATGGTCTAGGCTGGGGCCTGGGCATGTGGGTTTTGTTTATTTTTTATATTTTTATTTTTTGTGGGTTTTGTTTGGAATTCTCATGGGTGATTTTGTTGCATGGCGACGGGGGTGAGAACCTCTCTGCCTCATTTACCAGATTTCCTTTGCTTTTCCCACAATCTCACTGAGACTGTCAACACCCAGTATTAATTTTTTTCTCTTTTTGCCTATTTGTTTTCTATTCCTATGGACTTACTGCCTCCCAGTCCAGAGTTTTGTCTTCTCCCTCCGTCCCCCCTCTCCTTGCCAAGGCGCCCTGCTTGCTCAGGCCTGCTGTCCCTGGCCCCTGGGCTAACACAGAGCCATGCTGTTGTATCCAGGTGTCTGACTTCCGGGAGCAGCTGCTGGCCTGTGCCGGGGTGGAAGCTGAGCGAGTGGTGGAGTTTTCCTGTGGTGAGAATCCATGTTCAGGGTAGGCCATGTGTCATACTCCAGCCCCTGTTGTCACAGTTTGACTCTGTGCTCTTATCAGGCCCAAGGGGTTGAGGAGGCCATGAGGCTCCAGCACTTGCCAGCTCTCACGTGAGCTCACTTAATCTCCGTGCCCCCTCCCCCTTTGTGCTGTGGAAGCAGGGTAGGCAGGCTGAGTGTTGGAATTCCCTTTCCTATTGTGGAAGACAGGGTTGGCAAATGCTCTTCCTGGACCCTGCCTTACAGAATAGTCAGCACCTCATTTTCAGCCCCTCACTGGGTCTCTGCAGGTCACGTGATCCCTCCGGACAATATTTTACCGCTCATCATCTGCAGTGGGCCCTCCGGCCAGCAGCTGGAGTTCACGTACCAGAAACGAGAGCTACCACAGATGGTTAGTACCAGCCTACTCACTTTACCACAGCCTTTACCAGGGCAGGAGAGCAGTTTCTGGGGTGCCAGGCACTCTGGCCAATGCTTAGTGTTCAGGTGTTGGGGAGATTAGTCCTGTGGTCTTTCACTGTGGAGCTGGCACAGGATGGTTAGTGTCCATCTGGATTCTTATCAGGGGAGGCCTGAGCTTCCCCTTCCACTCACCCCTTAGACTCTTAAATAGCTTTTTTTAGAACCTCGAGGCATCCCTTGAGGGATGAGAGAACCGGGTGAGAAAGCTGCTCATTTCCTTTGGTTCTCTGGCCATTTGGTTTTATCGGTCCCTGCTCTGGGCTTGAGGGCCCACTGCTAGAGGGGCACCTGGGGATTTCAGTGTCCAGTTTGTTGTAGATGGTGCTTAATCCCCAGTGGCCCGCTGTGCATTGGGAATTGGAGCAAGGAGGCTTCGGTGGCATACCAGTGGCAGGTTTTAGCTCTGGAACACTAGGATTGTGATGTGTGTGGTGGGGAGGGTGGTACCTTCTCCTCTGATTCCTATTCCAGGTAGGCATGGGGTTTGGTGGGGGAATGGGACATGCCCCTTCCCCCATGGCTACAGCTACCCTTGGATCTCTATACGTGGTCTTGAGTCCCAAAGTTAGGAAATGTTGTTTGGATATGGCTACAGGGAGGGCTGTCTTCCTTCCTTAGATGGATGAGACCGGTCGCATTCTCTGTAACCTGTGCACTGTGGTCCCTGGAGGGGTGGTCTGTTTCTTCCCCTCTTACGAGTACCAGCGCCAGGTTTATGCCCACTGGGATAAGAGTGGTCTGCTGGCCCGCCTGGCTGTCAGGAAAAAGGTGAGTGAGCGCTCAGCTGGAACTCCCACTTGTGAGGATAGGACCCAGAGTTCCTGCTAGGACTTCTGCATGTCAAACCAGGTGAGGCCTCACGTATGGGCTTCTGCTAGTGCCTTGCCTCCACCACTTCTAACCCCTGACCACCTCTGTAGGATTTCCCTAGAGCCCCTTACTGTCTGGGGGTCTTCAGTTCCCAGTCTCAAAAACATGAAGCCAAGAGTAGACAGGGACTCAGACATTCTGAAACCCTTTCCTGGGAGATGTCTGTTTTCCTTCAGATATTTCAGGAACCCAAGAGAGCAAACCAGGTGGAGCAGGTGCTGATGGAGTATTCCAGGTGCATTAAGGTGAGAAGTGGAACTCAGAGGCCTTGGGTCCAGAGAACATGTGGAGCTGGCAGCTGTAGATGTTCTGGGTGGCATCCAAGTTTTGGGCTGGTATTTCCTGCAGTGTTGTGGCCAGGCGGGAGGCACGGTGACAGGTGCTCTGCTCCTCTCTGTGGTTGGAGGAAAGATGAGTGAAGGTATTAACTTCTCTGACGACCTTGGCCGGTAAGTTGTGGGTCCTCTCATCTCCTGGGCTCTGACACTGACCACACCTCACTCCAAACAGCTGGGTTCCTGCCTGCAAGCTGATGCCATCTGAGTCTGCATCCCTGACTGACTGCTTTGATCATTCAGCTGTGTGGGGAGGTGCTTTGGCCTTTGATTCCAGGTGGAAATTAGGCAGAGCATGATTTTGTCAGGACTCAGTTCACGTAGCCTGCACCCGGTCTCTTAGTTGAGAAAACCTGCTCCAGGTGCAGGTACAGGGTGGGGGAGGGAGAGGTAGAGCCAGCAAGCACAACTTGAGGGGGCTGAAAGAGTGCTGGATGTAGCTGTTGATGACGTTGATGACGTGTGGGTGAGGCCTGGGTCCTTTATCCTGGCCTTAAAGATGCGCTGGGGGCCTGACTGCTTTACATGGTGTGGGCTACCTCCGCCCTAGGTGTGTGGTCATGGTAGGCATGCCCTACCCCAACATCAAGTCTCCGGAGCTACAAGAGAAGATGGCTTACCTGGATCAGACCCTAGTGAGTATCTTGTGTCCAGAGGATGGGAGGAGATGGCTGGGGAGAACGTGCTCTCTCCTCTAGGGCCATGATACCAGGGCTGTATCACTGTGACTTCCCCACTGCCCCCTGACATGCCAGCATTTCCTGTCTGCTCCAGGGGAGGGGATGCACCCCCTTGCCCTCTGGAGCTGCTCTGTGATCTCTGTTGTAGCATGTGTTGACATAGTGCCCATGAAGCCTGCTGTTCTTGGTCCCATGCCTAGTGGTATCATTTTCTCAGAACACTGAGCAAGAGGCAAGAAAATACTGACAGGTGCTCTCCTCTGCCCTTCCCAGCCCAGAGTTCCAGGTCAACCACCCCCAGGGAAGGCTTTGGTGGAGAATCTGTGTATGAAGGCTGTCAACCAATCTATAGGTGGGCGTGGGTTCCTAGCTCTTGGAATGCATGGTGGGAGAATGAGGTGACAGGAAGGAGGGGACACGATAGAAATGTACTGTGGGGGAGGCAAGTGTAAGAGCCCCAACCTCTGTTCCCATCTAGGTAGGGCCATCAGGCACCAGAAGGATTTTGCCAGCATAGTGCTCCTGGATCAGCGGTATGCGCGCCCACCTATCCTGGGAAAGCTGCCAGCCTGGATCCGAGACCGTGTGGAAGTCAGAGCCACCTTTGGTCCTGCCTTTGCTACCATGAGGAAGGTCAGTCCTGCCTTTCCCTGCCCTTGGAGGCACTCCCCCCCCCCCCCTCCCCGAGATCTCGTGCCTCACTGCTTTTCCTTATCTCCCCAGTTTCATCGTGAGAAGTCAGTCCCTTCCTGAGGGATGGCCCACCGCTGCCTGCTGCCAGGCTTTTCCTTCTCCCTGCCCACTTGAAATGTTTGTCTTGGGCTTGCTCTGAGGGGATTCAGCCTAAGAACATGAAGCTGGAGCAGCCCAGCCCCTTTCTGGGGTGAGTGGGCTGCCAGGACCAGGCATAGGTGGAAAAGCCACTAGGAGAAAATCAGGTTGATTCTGAAGAAACCGGGTCCTGGCCATCCTGGGGCCCACCCCAGGGCAGTTCTCCCTCCCTGGATTGAATCTGTATGCCCATTCAGTGTGGCCCAGAGTCCAGCTCCCTGCCCCACTTCCTGGCCAGCCTCCCATTGCAACATTTCTGTCCTTCCGTCTCTCAGTGTCCACTCTCCCAGAGGTGAGGTGGAACATGCCCTCCTGCCTTTTTCCTTTCTGGCTACAGTTTGCTGTTCTAGACCTTCACCCTCTCTTCAAACCTAAGAATGTTCCCTATTTCCAGCCCCCAGCTGCCCAGAGGGCTCCTGCTCAGGGTCCTCTGATTACCTCAACCCGATCTTCTTTCTCTGTTAGGAACTGGTAAGAGAGCCATGTGTCAGCTCCCCCACCTGCTAGGCTCTCTGTGTCCTGGTCTTTCTTTCCCCCAACCACAGTGCTGGTCCCTCACCTGTTCCATAGCTGGCCTGGTTCCAGGTCCTCCTTCAAGTTGGTGGCACCTCCTTCCCACTAAGCCACTTGAGCAAACTTCAGACACCTCCTCCCTGACTTCAGCAATTATGCCAAGGGCCATTAGGCTCCCAGCAGGACTATTTTTAGAGACCCCGTGTCTGTCACAGAGATGTTTTTTCCCTGTGTGAAGATATCCTCCTATCTGCAGCCACCACCCCCACCACCCCTGCCCGTCCAGTTGACCACATCTCTGCTCTCCCTGACCCAGAAGGGGCCTTGGTCCACTCTGTGCTCTGCCCCCATTGCTTGAGCCCAGTGGGAGCAGGAGGACAGGTGCTGGCTTGAAGGAGATGCTTGCACTCTGCACAACCATAGCTCTTTAATTAAAAGTGCACTGCTGGTTTACACTTGGTTCTTGCATGATACTTCTTTATTGATTCATGTATTTATTTCAGTCTGCAGCTGGAGGAGACCACAGGCAGAGAGCAAGGGCTCCCTGCTCTCGGCCACCTGGCCTCAGAAGCTGGCCACCTAGCTCCTTAAGGCACAGGCCTGGGACAGTCCTCCACAGGCAGCAGGGGCCGAGAGACCTGCAGGCCAGGCAGCTCACCCCGCTGTGTCCATGTGAGGGCAGTAACTAAACCTGAGTTTGGTGGGAAAGGGTGGCCGAGCCCCTAGGATTCCCAGTCATCCTCATCCTCTTCTCCAGGTGGCTGCTGTGGGGGAGGCAGAGGTGGGATGGAGTCTGACATTCGGGCAAAGGCTCCTCCTGGCCCCTCACTGGCTCCTGTCACAGGTCCTTTCCCAGAGATCCCTGGGAGGGTAGAGGTGGAGAGTGAGGGGGTGATTGGTTTGGGATACCAGTTCACCCAGCCCCTAGAAACTTAAGAACAGGACAAGAACAGCAGAATCTGCAAGATACAAAACATCCTGAGACTCCCAGCCCAGGGAAGGCAGCCAGGCTCTGCTTCCTACCTTTACGCCTCATGACCAGCTTGTTAAAGAGATCCGACATCAGGTCCCCACCTTGGCTTGTGGCTCTCACTGTAACAGGAAAGCCATGGTAAGGAAGGATGAGGGGACCAAGGACAAAATCTGCCTCTGGGGTGACCCGTTCAGGGTTGGTCCTATCTCCTCTTTCTGCTCACTGTCAGCATACGCCAGCCCCTCCTAGCTACTCTGTGAGACATAGCAGGAAGTGTGAATGGCCCCATTGTACAAATGAGCAATCTGGCCCAGAGAGGCTGGGCAATCTGCCTGAGGTTGAGTGCAAAGCTCAGAAGTTGAGCCGGGACTCAACCTCAGGAGGCCAGATCATTGTGGCTTTGTGCCCGGGTGCTCTGTTCAGGCTGCATTTAGGGTGCATGGCACGTGCAACCTGCAGCCTTGAGGGGGCCTGGAGAAGCCGGATCCTCCAGGTCCGTAGTCTCTACAGCAGCTTAGGGCCTCAACCATGTCCCAGGACAGCTCCCAGCAGAATCTCAAGATTCTCTGTTGTCAACAGCTGGAGGCTTTATCTCCTGTTAACTTAGAGCAGAAAGCTCTAAGCGGGCTACAAACCCAGGAAGGAACCCACAGCCCAGGCAGGAAAGGTAGGTATATTAGGGATGGCCACCCACGGCTTCCTGCAGACACCCTGGGGAAAGCATGGGGCAGGTGGGCTAGGGGCTGCTCCTCTGACATTTGGGGTGATCAGGGAGTCTGGTGTTAGCTCCAAGAAAAGGTGGCCCTTTCCCTAGAGCCTTCCTCCTGAAGCGGGCCAAGGCTCCCCTCACCTTGCTCCTGCTCCTTCTGTTTCTTCTTCTCCAGCTTGCGCTCCTTTACGCTACGGAGCTTGGCCTTGCCTATGCCCCCAGCCTGGCGGATGGACTCCAGCAGGGTGGCCCGGCCACTGGAGGGGTCTACCACTTCCTTTGGAGCTCCTTGAATGGTAGCTGTGAAAGGCATGGTGAGAAAGAAGGCTGCTCAAGCCTGGCTTTGAGAATGGGCTCTTCCTCTTGAAAAAGGAAGCCAGTGGGTGAAGCTGAGCCCTGGGAGACCGTAAGCACCTGAATGCTGCCTGCATCTGCCTGAGCTTAGCCAGACCTATGGCCGCCCCCCCCCCCCCCCGTCCCTCTCTGCAGATGTACCCCGTGGGAGCCTCGATGTGTGGACAGTTTCTGAACTTGACACATGAGCCAACATGGGCTTTTTGTGCCACCTCTGGGTGCTGGAGATAGACTAGAGATGTCATGCTAAAACTGAAATCCTGCAATTTAAATATACGGATATTTTGTTGCTGGAGCTTTCCATCTTTTTTTTTTTTTTTTTTTTTTTTTTTAGTAGCCACCCTTTTCCCATTGGTTTAAGTGGGAATGGGGTGGGGGGTGGGCACCACAGCTCCACCTATCCACATCCAGACTCTTCTGCCCTGGAGATGAGCCCCATCTCCAGGGGGCTCCAGACACAGTTTGAAAACCACTATTTCATGAACCCAGTGGGACAAGATTTTGATATCAGATCTATTCTGAAAGCCTATGGCCACTTAAACCTACAGAAAACCCTTCAGGGATCCAGAAATTGGAGGACCCCTCAAAGAGCACATGCCCCCTCGTCCCTGACCCCCCTATGCACCCTGGTGCTGCTCCTACCTGAAGGAGACACACTGTCACTGCTGTCCTCCCTGGCACCTTGGCCAGGGGAGGCTATGGCCTGGGGTGGGGGTGGGGGAGCGCTGACCAGCACAGCTGGGGCTGGGGGAGGTGGGGGGGGTGGTGGTGGCGGCGGGGGTGCTATTAGTACCCCATCTTCCAGGTCTGAAACAGAAGTATGAGAAAGTGTGAGGTGCTGAGGGATGCAAGTGGCCAAGTAAGGGAGTTCCTGCCCAACTCCTGTTCTCTGCTCACCTGGCTTGAAAGTCTCAGCCACCTCTGTGTGGAAGGTGGGCAGCTCTGGAATGGTGCCAGGGGCAGAGGGGGCGATGCCGGGGCCCAGGTCAGCACTGTACATGAGGTCATCGGCGATGCCCGGCAGGTCGGGCAGGTAGGACGGCACATCAATCTCAGGCACTTGGCCCAGGTCAGGCACATAGAAGTAGTTTTCTGGAACCTGCAGGATTAGGTGGGGGCCTGAGGGGGCAGTCAGCAGGGTCTTGTGCATCCCCACACAAGGCAGGGGGTGAGTAGGGGCTCGACAGGCCACTCACTAAGAGGATGCTGGCGGGGCCACATTCTAGTCCAGCATACCCCCTGCCCACAGGTATCATCCAGCTCTACCTGTTGCTCCAGCTGCTCCCTCTTGCTGATGGACAAAGGGGCATCGAACAGCTTCTCCTCTGTCTCTGCCCCCAGCATCACATGGGTCTTTGTTACAGCACCAGCCAGGGGGTCCAGGAAGACATACTTTTTGTACCTACGGAGTTGGGGTGGATGTCGAGCAGTCACCATATCTGCTCTAGGCCCATGGCCCTGCCCCATCTCTTACTTCATCAGGGCCAGTTAGTTTGTACTGTAGACTCTGAGGCCTTAAAAGGTAAATCAAACTGTTCGGCTCTGGGTTCCCGTGCCTAGTCTTCTGTACTGAAATGTCATGCCCCCAGGCTCCCCCACGATGCCAGGCCACCCAGCCACCCTTCCAGAGCCCCGCGATGTGCCGTACAGGTTCTCAGTGGTGTTGAATAGCAGCAACGAGCTGACGGAGCTGATGTTGCTGGGAAGACCCCCAAGCCCCTCCTCGGCCTCATCCTCAGGCTCTGGCTTGGTGTTCATACACACAGGGAAGTATTTCAGCTTCTCCTGGTGGGGGCAGGGGTGGTAATAAGGATAGTGGGTTGCAGTGCCATGACAAAGTAACCACCCATCCCAGTCCAAATCCTTTTAGGGGACAGAACCCTCAGTTCCTCCCCAACAGCCAGGGCCAGCCACCTCTGGTCACCCTCATCCCCCTTCAGTATATGAATCCTTCAGACCTGCAGGGCCCACTCATCCAGGGGGCGGTGCTTGCTCTGGATCCTATAGCGAGGGCGTCTCTGCAGTCCTGGGTCCTGGGCACCCGTGAAGATGGAATCGTACTCCTGTAGGCGTTCTGGAGCTGGGTATTTGGCACTGGAGAACACCTAGGGACACAGAGATCAGTTCTTGAGGGGTGCCCGAGATGCTCCAGAGTCCAGGGTGGGTCTGGGGAGGGTGGATCCTGAGCAGAAGGAAAGCTCGAGGTATGGCTGGACAAGGTGGCAGTGTGAGAAGCAGGGGGAGGTGGTAGGGATGGGGTTTCTGGGGATGCCTGCTGGCTGTGGGGACCGGGGCCACACGGTCTACCTTGATCGCCTTCTTGCTGCCCTTAATCTTCTCGATCTTGGCCTGGGCCAAGGAGACCCTCTCCCCAATGGCCTGCAGCTGTTTCCGGCTGAGCTCTACTCGTTGGGAGATCCTGCCATGGGAAAAAAAAAAATCACAGGAGCTGAGGGCTGCTCCCCAAGTCCCTGCAGCCTCCTGCACCCCTGCTTCTACCTGCAAACTTGCAGAGCTGAGGGCTTTGGCAAGGGCCCTAGAATACAGTGTTACCTCCTTGTCATGGCTGACTTTGAACTGCCCAGGTGACCTCTGCACGAATCTCTAACCTGAAGGGTTTAGACATGAACTCTTGAGTTCTTGCAGTTCTGCATAGGAATGGGCAATCACCCTGGCCCCAGGGTGGTGTTGGGACATGCCATCTGTCAGGGACAGGACTCCTGCCTCTAGGAGTTTACAGCCTCAAGCAGGGCAAGCAGAGAGAAAATCGCCATGACTCCTGTACATAATCGCCTATTTCCAGAGGAGAAGAGAGCTCACAAGGATGAGTGATGGGCAAGGCTGGGCCTAGATTCAAGTCCCAGACCCATTCACAGCGAACTGCCCTGACACACAATATATGGCTCATGTGGGCAAATCCAAAGTCCGGTCATCATGGTCCTTGTGGTTGTGGTCAGGGTACTCACTCATAGGTTTCCACTCGTCCTTCTCGGATGAGCGGGCTCCAGTGACACCAGTGCCCTGCTATTCCCTGAATGTGCCAGATGTATTACTGCATGGCCTCTGCATCAAATGGAGTGCCCTCCCTGCAGACACCCATGTGGCTGGCTTATTCGCTTCACTGAGCTTCATTCCGTCCTCAATGCAGCCTTCCTGAACACTGACTCTAAAAATGCACCTGTCGCTTGCCAACCTTTTTACACAGAGCCACCTGATGTGCATCTACTGCCTAGGTGTGCTCCAATGGGGTAAGGGCTTGGCTTGGTTCCCTATTTTCCCAGGGCTGGCACCTGGAGAGGCTCCCTGAATGATTAACAACCACATGCTCTAAACGTAAATGCACATGAGCCCCCACGCTGTTGCACATTACTGAGCAATGGTAAGGTTCTCACTGCAGTGGTGACTGGCTAAACAGGGGCCAGGG